CGTGGCGGCTCCCGCAGACGCGCTGTCTTCAGTGGCCCAGGGAGTGGGGGGGAGGGAGGGGGACTGGGATGCAGGATGGATGGACGGACAGACAGGCTGGTAGATGGACAGAGGGAGGATGGATGGGTGGAAGGAAAGGAGGAGGGAGGGAGGGAGGGTGGATGGGGGAAGGGAGGGAGGAAGGTGGCCTGAGCGGCCAGTTGGAGCCCCAGCGAGGGAACATCCCGTCTCATCTCCAAGACCAGGTGGGGTCCTGTCTGTCTCGGCCTCCGTGCCTTAAACAAGGTGGGCCCTGTCTCCAGAGGTGCCCCTTGTCTAGTGTTCCATCCCAGCTGCCACTGTTGGCCACGTGCTTGCTGTGGATGGATGTGTGTGTGTGTGTGTGTGTGTGCGCGCGCGCCTCTGGCCAGTGCACAGGGCTGCCGGAGGCAGGGTGAGGCTGGTGCCAGACAGACGGCGGCCTCAGTCTTGGGTGTCGGCGTAGCTAACTGCGGCGTCGGTTTGTTCCTCTGGTCAGTCTGAGCGAACGCCGGAGGAAGTCCACGCAAGTCCTGCGTCCCGTGATGAGTCTGACGTGGTTGCCCACGTGGCCGCCACGGCACAGGCTGCAGGCAGCGGCCCACTGGAGGGCACCCCCTTTTTGTTTAATCCTCACCCGAGAACATTTTTTAGAGGGGGGGGGAGAAGCATCCCATATGCACCCCAAACAGGGTATATGCCTTGACCGGGCTCGATCCCACAACCCTTAGGTTCGCAGGCCAACACTCGGACCACTGACCAGGGCGGCCACTTCTGTCACCGTAGTTACTGTTGCCTGTCCCTGCATTTCACATAAACGGACGGGCGGTCAGCGTGGCTTTCCCTCTGTTCCGGCCCCGTCTGTTAGGGAGACTCCCTGTGGCCGGGTGGGCGGGCGCCTTTGTCAGAATCTGAGCGACGGGTGGCTGTCTGTGCGGTCTGCCCGCCGGGTGCGCAGCCCTGATGAGCCCTGGACTCTTGGATGGAGTACGCACCTCGGTCTTCACGGGTCACCAAGGGACTCGCTTTTCCACATGCATTTTGGAATTGGCTTCTGAGCTTGAACAGAAAAGCCGCTAGACTTCTGATAGGATGGCCTTGACCTTGGGCCTGGGGAATGGTCCTAGCAACGCTGGGTCTCTGGCCGCGGGCGCTGCTCGGGTCCTTTTCCTCTGGGCACCGCCAGCCGCATCTCCACCGGATTTACTCCTGGGTACTAGGTGCCTCATGCTGTTGTGAACAGGTTTTCGGTTCATTTTTAAATAGTGTCCCCTCGGTTCACGTGTCAGTGGTCCGCCCACGCTCCAGTCTCCTGTCCACACGACAGCCCCCCTCCCAATCCCCACGGCTCCCCCTCTGCCCTGGCCTGCGGCCGTCCATCCTCCTCCAGGGGCGTCGCGGCATCTGCCGTGACGAGACCTCAGAGG